CCCCAAAAACCCCAAAACCCCAAAACCCCAAAACCCCAAAACCCCAAAACCCCAAAACCCCTTGGGGAAAAGTTATAATTGGGATTGTTTAAAATCTTATTCCTAAGGGTTTGTTGTGGTGGGTTAGAGATGCTTTAGGATTTATCAAGATATGAGTGCTTTTTGTGAAGAGAAAAGTCACAAGTGAGGAAGTATATAACTGCGAATATCATTCATATTAGTCCAAGAGCATCACATATTGTGGGGAAGTCTCATATGCTGAATACAAGATTACCAATCATTGGTCCAAAAATTTCACCGAGAGCAAAGAACATGTTAAACAAGCCTGAGCACATATCATTGATCCCTTCGCTTTCAGAGTCGTTCTATAGTTTTATTAAAATTTTACTAAATCTTTTGCTCCTTCTATCATCTCTTCCATCGGAGTTATCATCAAATGAGAGTTGGCGATCCCTGCTAATAAAAGAGCCATTGCCAAAACTAACATGTTTGGGGTTAAGAACCATAATATGTAAGAGGAACTGTAGAACATCGTCAAAACCCCTAACAAAAAGCATGACAGCATCGCTACTCTCATGTTTGAGAAGTAGTCAAGGTACATTGGGCTGACAATTCAGCTGACCATGTATCCCAGACCAAGAGCAAGAAAGAAATATCCAGACGTTTGGGGCTTAAAATTGAATGCATTCTCCACGTATTCTGCTAGAATGGGATCAATAAATGCAAACTGGAACACAGCAATGAACACACACAAGCATGCAAATAATATCCTCTTATTGCTCAAGAGTTCAGAATACTTAGGCTTTATTATTTCATTTTCAGTAAAATCTTCTTGAATCTCATCTACAAATTCTGGAATCAACCTCTTAATCACTAACCCAATGATTAAGCAGATTACAAAGAAAGTAAGAAAAGGGGCTGCACTTCCTCCAAACTCATATAGGATTGTTCCTACCACTGGTCCCAGACTCAGGCCAAGTCCTGCTGAAGTTTCGATGTAAGCAACAGCAAAATTAATTTCTGAAGGATAAATAAGAGTAAGGATGGAGTATGATGAAGTCTGAACCATACTCGTTCCAATCCCCTGAATCACTCTCATTGTCATAAAGATAGCAATATACAATGTAGAGTTAGTTGTATAGTTGTTTAGGAAGAATCCTAGAGAGGGAACTGCAACAACAATCATTCCCCATTTACACATATTTCTTCTTCCAAGAGTGTATAGATATTTCCCAACAATAGGGCAAAACATTGCCATAGAGACACTGTACACACAAAACATGAAGCCAAGGTATATCTGGTCGATGTTATGCTTTTCAGCATCAATAGGTAGCAGTGGAGCTCATATCCCATAAGATCAATCTAGCAACATAGTGGTGATGCACATATAAGCAATCAACATTTTTGAAGCCTCTCCTTCTGAACCTCTTGAACTGAGACAAGTCTCGTTCCCATCATCGTCCTCCTTCTCAATAAGAGGTTTTGTAATTTCCTTATTCACCAGTTCAAGGTCATTTCCTCCCTGAGTATGCTTCCAAGTGTCCATTTGCTTATATTTCAAGTATATTATTTCAAATTGCTGGTGATACTTTGGGGTTTTGGGGTTTTGGGGTTTTGGGGTTTTGGGGTTTTGGGG